ACCTTTAGGCGTCAGCCTCCTGTCTTAGGTTGATACCACTGCAATTGGATCATACCCGTCACTGACTACCGGTCCAGCATAAGCCATTGGCCCCCAAATTTTAGACCATCACTAGCAGAAGGGAGGAGGATACAGAAATGCCACGACACCAAGCCAATTGACGGCTCCTTGGGAAAAAATTGCATCACTGGTGACACCATCAGCAAAGATATGTCAGCACTACCACAATTAACATGGGGTGCGCTGGCAAGGAAATAAAAATTGCATCACTAGTGACACCATCAGCAAAGATATGCCAGCATTACCACAATTCGCTGCACCAAACGATAGTTACATAGTCTAGGCAAGTTCTGCAAGCAGTTCAAAGCAGAGGAATCTATCAATATGTCCATTTCCTCCCAAAATCCGTTTCCTCCCAAAGTAAGTTGACTCTTTGATTGAGCATTACTTGTTGAGTTCTTCACCGGCACTGGGATGGAGATAGGAATTCTGGCAATGATGCTAAAGAGACATTATCCTGAAAAGAATTATTAAATATAATGAAAAGGAAAGGTGAAAGTAAACAAACAGATCTGTTAACCTACTTTAAAAACAATCCTTAACAGCCTTTTACCTAATTTAAACTAGTAAACAAACAGATCTGTTAACCACCTTTAAAAACAATCCTTAACAGCTGTTTACCTAATTTAAATTAAACCATTTAAATCACGGGAATAAAAAAAAATAATAATAATTCGGATCCATATTGCTTGTTGTTTAATTAATCAGAAGGGGGGAGATGCTGGGAGCCATTAGCCAAGTAGGTATGACAATTTCCTTGCCAGCGTACCCCATGTTGCAGTGACATTGAATGTAGGTGACCTTGCTCAAGGACCAAGGCGGATTAGGGCGTTCCCGGTTTAGGTTCCAGGTTTAAGGTTTAAGATTATTCCTGCTGGGAATAGGGCGTATCCTGCTGCCTAAGTTCCCCTTGAGTTCTCAGGGGATTCAGACAGTATATTTTGGAGATAGAAGCCCAGTGGATTTGGATTTGGGCAGAGAACGTGAATTTGGGCAGAGAACGTGGATTTCCCCAGAACGTGATTGTAGACGGCTGGTGTGAGTTCGGGAATAAAGAGTTGCTGTTTGAATCTACAAGCTGTGTGGTGGCTCGTGATTGTGTGCCCAGCCAGACTGCGGCATTTGTGCCCAGCCAGACTGCGGCACTTCTGCATTTCCCAGCATGACTAAGTAGAAACAGAAATGCCACACTATTGTTCTGTTGCAATCCTTACATATAATTAATGATTTAAAAGTTACTATGTTTTGAATGATTAAGGATCTCTTAAATTTGGTTGATTGGTTTTTATACCAACCAATACCACCCATATTGGTCCTTTCCAAATCTCTAGCTGAAATCACTACAGCAACTTTCCCCGAGAACCTGTTGCCGCTATACCTAGCTCTCTTTCTTCTGCTCCCTACACTGCACTAAGAGCCACCTTTCAATGATATAAATCTGCACACATCACTTGTCTACTAAAATCTCTTCAGTAACTTCCTGTAGTTCATAGAATGAAGCCCAGACTCCTCACATGGTTATCAAGGCTCCAGCTGACATAGGCCATTAGTATCTCCCTCACACCTGCAGTAAACCACTCTGTCTCTGGTACGTTACAATGTGGCAATATTGAACATTTTTCAGTTCCTAGAAATTGCTCTTCTGGCTTGTGGCATTTACATGTTTTACTCTAGTAATGCCCACAGGTTCTACCTTCCCTTTTAAGCATACTTGTCCTTCAGATACCAACTAATAAATTACTCCTTCCAGAAAGCCACCCCTGCTGGGCATAGTGGTTCCTACTTATAATCTTAGCAATTTGGAGGCCGGGGCAGGAGAATCACAATTTTGAGGCCAGCTTGGGCAACTTAGCAAGACTCAATCTTAACAAATACAATAGCAAGGGCTGAGGACGTAGCTCAGAGATACCCTCCCCAATCAACCAGAAAGTCATCCTTGAACATGCTCCACATATCAGGATTGAGGAACTTCTTTGCCTCTACACTTTCATAGTTTGTGGTAGACAGAACAATGGCTGTCCAAGGATGTCTACACTCTAATCCCTGTAACCCTGAATATGGAAAATCAGACTTTCTGGATGTGACTAAGATTATAGATCATGAGTTACGAGATTATTCTGGATTATTTGGGTAAATTCAATCTAACCCATGAATCATTAAAATCAGAGGACTCTTCCTGGATGAGAAGGTGGTCACAGGGAATATGACTATGAAAGAGTAATCAGAGAGGTAGTAATACTAGCTTTGAAGATGGAGGAATGGGACCATGAGTCAAGGAATTTGGTCTCTCTCTAAACTTAAAAAGGACAAGAAATATACTCCAGAAAGGAATGGCTTTAAAAAGGACAGGAAATATACCTCCAGAAAGGAATGGCTCCTAGCCACAATCTTTTCTTAGTACACATCAGACTTCAAACTGTAGAAGTATAAAATAATAAATTATAAATCTGTGTTGTTTTAGGCCTGCAATTCTGCAGTAATTTGTTATAGTAATGACAGGAGATGAATGCAGTTCCCAATATAAAAGCTGACACAGCAGATATTACACTGTGGTAATTATGTATAGTAAAAAGCTTGCCATATCTCCTAGTAAGTCTATATGCTCTGTCAAGTTGGGTTCTTTCCTCTCTCTTCCCTCATTGTATTGCCAAAGCCTAGCATGCATGAGAGATCAACAGAAAGTATTCATTGAGTAATTGAGAATACAAGAAGTTGCAGGGGGAAGAAGAAAGAGAAAATGGAGGATGAGGGGGGAGGGGGGGAGGGGGGGAGAGGGAGAGAGAGAGAGAGAGAGAGAGAGAGAAGGAGAAGAAGGAAGAGGAGGAGGAGGAAAAGAAGGGGATAGAAACAGAAAAATGTTCATTTACAAGGCAAATGGAAGAAATATTCAGCCAGAACAAATATTCAGTACACATGGATGCTGTCTTTATATTTATGATACAATAAAACCCAAATTATCAGTCATCCTTTGATAACATTAAATCAAAGTCAGCAATGACTTTTCTATTCAGAACCAACTAGTACTAAAAGATCAATTGCTAGTACAAATCTAAAGACTTTTTCCACTTAAGTTACAGTATGTATTAGTTATCTAGATATTTTAAATATCTAATCATTTGCTAAAATTGTCCAGCATGTGTGCCTATGTGATATATATATATATATATATATATATATATATATATATATATATGTTTATAATACCATATATATGTTTGTGTATATAAACACACATGAGCACTTACACACACATATCTGGATAAATTTTTTATCCAATGAACTGACTATTTCAGCATTGTATAAACTGCTTTACTTACCAGTCTAAAGTCTGTGGGGATCCAGTTTGAAAACAACCAGATAATGAATTAAGGTCTCATATTAAAAATGTAAACAAGAAAAGAGATGCTAGATGGTCCAATATTCAAGGGTGTGGCCTATATTTGGGTCCATATGCTTCTTTATAGGTGGCTATGTTAAACAGAGAAAAATTATGATGTGGTGCTCAAGTGTGAGTCCCTGGCTTCTATTGTCTTTCATGGAAGAGATTGGTTTATTACTGCAATTCTGCAATAATTTGTTATAGCAATGACAGGAGATGATAATAATAATAAGTAACCACCAAGTTACCTAGAGATTCCAAAATGGAAGCATTAACTTCAAAATAATAAAAAATGTCTTGTAATCTATAAAACTTTTAATTCACCACTGGGTTTTTATGTTTTTTCAACATTGACACTAAACGACTCATTTGACTGTTTTTTGTTTTTTTTTTTAATGACTAATGCATTTGTGAAACTAATGAGTTGTTTTGTTGTCACCTAGACATGAAGACACACAAATATCAATTACCCACCTAAGTGAACAGCAGTTAACTTAGAAAAGGAATTCTAAATAGTCTTTTAGCGTGAGTAATCCTCGGGTTAGAGTTTGCAGAAAAATGTATAACTGTTCTTCAATATTTACTTTTATAAAAAGTCTACTTAAATAAAAATCAAATTCATTAATGTTTTAACAAATCATAACAAACTGTGCTGGTTGTAAAATGGATAAATATTCAAGGATTTTTAGCATTTTTTCATCCTCATTTTGCAGGTGCCAAATATCATTAGCAAACTTTCAAGAGAAAGAAAAAAAAAAAACAGCCACTAATTAAAAACTTTGTTCCCTCTACAGTAAATTTTCTCTCATCTCAGAGACACAAATTTATTAGTAAAATGGCTTCTGAAGCATTCTATATGTACATGAAAACCAATTGTAAAGAAGTTGGTCCCTGAACTTCATATTATTCTCTTCACCCACATACTTTCCTATTTTATTGTTTTCCCATAAGAGATTTATTTTATCTTGGTATTACAGGCAATGTTGCATCAAGCTATATGTGCACAGTTTTGTGGAAGTTAGAGCACAAAGTACAGCATATCTTATTTGATGTTTCTATCATAATTATACATTTCACCTCCATTCAGGAAAGCACACACACATCTAGTTTGTATGCATAAATCCTGTGAAAGGTTCTAATCAGTTACATAAATTCATTGTAATCAATTAAATTATAAATGTGATCAGGTAAGCAATGCATTCAAACAAAGGGGTCTTGAAACCAAGAGAGTTAGCAGATGAACTGCTCATGAGAACAAATGGTCACCCTATACTTAATGCTCCGATATCAACACCAAGATTATTCTCTCAATGATCATTCCTGTGTTTTTCTGTTGGTTCTCTAGTCCCTGGGTTAAGTTTTCTGCATATACAAATAGAATGCAGTTAAGAGAAGTTCTAGCATATGATCCATATAAATGGTAAAACACTACTACATCAGTTATTTATATACTGCTGGCAAAAAATGGACTTCAAACAAAGTACTGCTTGCTCTAATTTCCATTCCACTTTTGTAGATATGCACAGACTGAAAAACAATGATATATCACAAAAACAGAATCTAGATGTGGAATTTGTTTTTTACCTTACAGTACTAAAATTTTAAAGGTTCAATTTGCTTGCAAGATAATGGCAAAAAGAAATAATGTAGGTCAGATCTGCCTTTATGTTTTTTTTTTTTTTTTTCCAAATCAGTGACTGCTCTTATGATCATTGATAAACTGGCATGATGAAGCACCAGAAACTTTCCCATTAGTTACTCGAAAGAAGTAAGCAGATAAAGTGCCCTTTCAGACTACAAAGACTATGAAACTACATAGAAAAGAACTTGATTGTCCTACAGTGGCTCACACCTTTCATTCATTTCACAAATGCTCATTGGGTCCATGTTATATGTTAGTTATATTAGGTTTTGAGGGTATACCCTGGGGGATGAGGGAAAAAGGAGATACCAGACACAAATTTATTCTACATGGTAGATTCAGAGAAGCACAGTGTGTCTGAAGTTGAGGAGTGAAAGTTATGCCCTACCTGTGAGCTGTCGCCGCCTGCTTTGGGTGGCTTCACAATTCCTGGAGCAGGGTGTGAACTTGGACCAGGTGGTGAAGGTGCAGTCCTCTCTACACGGGACGGTACATTCCTGCACAAGGGGTGGCATGCCGTGTGTCTGCTTGAGGCATTCCATTATTTCTTCAGACTGGTTATCATCAGAGATGCATGAGACAGCTAAAAACAGAAAAGAACAGTAGGAATTCTTTTGTTATTATTTTGATTTTTCAGTCGACTTCTGGTTCTCTGACAAAACAGAATTCTCCAATGTTTGAAAATTTGTTCTTTGCTACGATTGCACACAGTGTTCATAGCTAACCTTATTGCTCCCTGGAAATTAAATTTTTATTGTTGCCATGGAAATATCGGAGTATTTAATTGGTTTCATTATTAATCTAAACTCTGCATTGACAACAACCAAAATAACTTGGAAGTAATTTATTATACTTCCTGCTCATGATCATCTGATCTTTAGAAATGATATAAGTCCAGAAAATGGAATTACATATCTGGAAAGGAGATAAGATGAGGACAATAAAGGACAAAACCAGTTTTAAAAGACTGTGTAAAGTCCCCCTAAGCTTGATTTTTATTGTTTCTTTGTTTAGATGGAATTATGGAAGTAGTCTTATTTTCATGTCACAGTATTTTTTTTTAAATTTGCTGACTATAAATAAACTTTTTTTTCTCATTAATATTTAAGGATCAGTTAAAATTTTAAATGACTTTATTCAAGCACAGCCATAATCTATCCAGATGTTCCCATTAGTTATAGGTGACTTCTCAAAGTTTCTCTCACCTACCTTTTCAACTAGCATGTCTCTAGTCATAAAAAAAATAATAACTTTGAGCAGAAAATTTATAAAATATCACTTAAGTTTTTCATTATTTGGAACAATGCCATTTATTTTATTTGATTATGAATGCAAGATACTTTGGTGCAACTTTTATTTATGCTGATTAGTTAGATATATCTTTATATTCTCCAGATCAGCATTTTTTGAGACTGGGCATTATTAAATATTGCCCATTTTGGGAGGGAGATGCCTGAGCCTGTCTTGTATTTGGTAAGACATGTAGCAGCATCCTTGCCTCTATCCATTAGACGCCAGAAGCACACATGCCCTCTAAATTGTGACAGCCAAAATGTCTACAGACATTAACAAATGTCATTGGGGATGTGGGGAAGGTGACAGGGAGGGTCAGTCTGGTTTAGAAAACTATTATCCTAAACTGTTTTCTAACATGGCTGTATTTTGAATACACAGACTCCATGGCAACACTTCATATCTCTCTATCAACCTTTCTGAGCAGGAAGTCTGGAAATATCTTTGTCTTGAATTGTTCTTTGTGGTTCCAAATCTAGCCTATACTGAAAGCCCATTAATGGTTAATGGTTTAGGATCTTGAAATGTTCCCTGAAAAGGTCATGTTTTAGGCTTCAAAGCAATGTTCAAAGGTAAAAAGACTGGATTATGAGAGTTGTGATATCATTTGTGGATTAATCCATTCAATGAATTAATAATTTGAATGGGCTACTGGGCGGTAACTGTAGGCAAGCAGGACATGACTGTAGGAAGTAGGTCACTGTGGGCCTGTCTTTGGGGACTATAACATGTTGCTGGCTTCTGCTTCCTCTCTGTTTCCCAGCCGCTAAGAGCTGAGCACCTTTCTTTGGCCATGGCCTTCTGCCTAACCTGAGACCCAGAGCAATGGAGTCAGCTGACCATGGAATGAGATATTGGAATCTATGAGCCCCAAGTAAACTTTTCCTTTTCCAAGTTGTTCTTGTCAAGTAATGTGCTCACAGCAATGAAAGCTGACTAAAACAGTGCCATTAGACAAGGCGTGCATTAACGGATATATGCTGAGTTCATCATCCTAAAGAAATCATAGTTTAGGAAAACGTTTATTGCAGCTCCTTAAAATCCACAATGTGATAAGGAATAAAGAGACTTCCACAAAAGATCAATGTCATTAACAACTCTTATGTAAACACCTCCATTACACAACAAGTGTACATAGAGCTCCTTTCAGTTGTCCATTCTTATATTCTGAATTTATTTTTCTATTCTCAGCACAACAAGTCCATCTGAATTCCACAAATCTTTTTTTAGAACTGGTGAAAGCCAAAGCTATCTAATGCTTCAGGGCCAAGGAATTAGCTATGATGACAAAGGACGCACACACAATACTTTCCAGCTTGTACATCTGTTCTGTGGCAGGTGGAGCTATTCATTCATTTCGATTATTTTTTTGTTTTTGTTTTTATCCACATCCTAGGACTAAAATCCATTGTACATCAAGCCAACATCACCTGCATTTTCTTTGTTGGGAATATTGCAGCCATTAATGATGAATACAGCAAAATACATTATCTTAAGTAGGGTACAAGCAAATGTTATTTGAATCACATGTTTAGATAACCAATTTGGAATCATTTAGAGAACTATCATCTTGCCAAGTTAATTTTTTCCAAGATGACAATGCACTGAATAGCATCACAAGGAATTTTAAATACTTTTAAGAAGCATTACTTTCTGAAATGTAAACCTCTAATATATATATATATATATATATATATATATATATATATATATATAAAATGAGAAATTTTTCCAATGAAAATAATTTTAAAATACTTCATTCATTTTCTGTAATTTCTTTTGAATAACTTCAGAATTTGAAAACTCTGATAAATGAAAACTTAATGATATTTTGAAGTTCTACTTAATGATATTTTGAAGCTCTGCAAACTTATGAATTAGAATATACTGCATTTATGAAAGTCTATATTGAACTGATCTGACTTAATAAAGGAAAGCCTAAGAAATTAAGAAAGGATAGCTACAGCATATGGTGGAATTCACAGATATTGTAGTCAAATGGCAATGAGTACAAATTCCAACTAAAACACTGAAAGCTAGGAGAACTAAGATAAGTTATTTAACTGCTTTGCTTATTCTCCTTGTCTTTAAAGTGAGTATAACAAGATCATGTATAAACAGTAGTGGTGAAAATTCTAAACAATGTCTTGTACATACCACAGGCTAAATAAGTGCCACTAAGTATGATTATCTTTTACATTTCTTTTTTTATTACAGCAGGATGATAATTCTTCAAGTAAGTATACACATAGACACACACACACACACACACACACACACCATATTCTCTTCCCAAGGCCTCATTTTTTTTCCTTGTCCATTCTCTCAGTATACTAATGAGGCTATTCAGACCAGATAAGATCTGTCACTCTTGTACAAACTGGTGTAGTGGAGTAGTCGAATGCAGACACTCAAGGTTTCTATGGGCCACAGAATGCATATGAAGTTGGAGTATGGAGTTTGAATAAAACCCACATTAGTCTGAAGACCATGTCTTTATTAAGGAAAACCTAAGGGTGAGTGATAAATAAAGAACCATAGGCAATGCAAACATGAGTTTAGACCAGGAATTATGGTTTTCAGATTTGAGAGTCTAATTTCCTCTCCAGTGTGAAAAGAATCACAAGTTCTGAAAGCATGAATAAATTAAGTGAAAATAATTTCCTTCTTAGGAATATCATAATATAAAAGAAATCATTCCATTATCAAAGGTTTATTAAATAACTGTATTGAGCTCTACTGGCGAAGAAAATACCAAAGAAAATATGACAAGAAGGCTACAGGACTGGAAAATTGGCACAGAAAACAAAACAATTATGCAAAGAAAATGAGAAGACATTGAAAGTAAATAGAGATAACTAATAGCCAAAGGTACTGCAAGTTCAAAGGACCCTTCCATCATACACATCATGGGCAAAAGCATTTTTAAAATATATGAATTATATGTAACCTACAATATAGTTCTGGGACCAATATTAAAGGAATATAGTCTCCTTAAGTCTTTTGAAGAGTAAATCAAATGTAGTATAGTATACTGAAAAAAAATGCAAGTTTTGGTCTCAAACAGAACTGAGTGACCCTTTTTTACTGTTACCTTTAGTAAATTATGAAACTCTCTTTAGACTCTCTTCCAAGAAATGAGAATGATTATAATGCCCATGTTATAAATTGACACAGATAAAGTGCCTTTTACAAAACCAAGTACATTACACATTAGTACATGATCCATAAGAGCAAAGTATTATGAAAAAATCAATTGGAAATAAATTGTGAGAACAGGCAGGAAAGGAAAGTCCACCATCACCTTTCTTGGTTCTTGGCTCAGAAAGAATTTTTCAAATCCCACCCAACTCTCTTGAGCCCTAAGAAGTGTGACTGGAGTCTCTTTTGAATCATAATGTTGAGGAGAGTAGCCTCTTCCAAAGACTATATGACCCTCCCACAGATATTTTCTGTTCTCATTCCAAGTGCTAAATTATGTGTCTTAGGGTATCTCTAAAAATGAGGCTGTATGCTGTCACATAAAATCACATCCCCAGAAAATTGAAATATTAGGCCTTTTGAGAATTCTTTCTAAAAGCACCAAGATCGAGATCTTTGAAAACAGTGAAGAGTTTCATGAATTGAGAATAGACATTTGCACAGGAGAGTGCTGGCCATCTTTGCATCTTTTGTACCTCATTTCCTGAGATGGCCACACAGCAGAAAGAGGTACCACATCCCTCTTTGCTAAAATTTAATTAATGAAGATTTGAATATCTAAGCATGATTTAAAGCATATGTCAAAAGTTTTCTGAATATTGAAAGGATGTGGGCCTTATTACTAATCAGAAAAGGAGAGAGCACAGGACAAAACAAGGTTTTTACGTCTTAAGATCAAAAATGAATCTTATTAAGGTCATTTTCTCCACTGCCATTGTCATTTAAACATGAAACCATGAGTATACACTGAATCATAATTATCTATACCTTCTTCCTTGATGGACCTTACTAAACATGACCCCTCCATTTATCTATTCACTCACTTGGTCACAAAAATATATATAAAACTATGAATAATCACAAAAGCATTGTGTGTATGTACACAGATATACATGCACATATGTATATTTAGCTATACCTATATATAAATAATCTAACATCCAGGAAGCCACAGTAATGGAAGTAGCAAGGAACAAGACAGATGGTAATACATCAGTTTCCTAATGGTGATAACCCAAGGAAAATTGGTGTAGAAGGGGAAAGTAGGTTCTTCAATCTAAAATTAAAGGTTATATAATGGGCAGGCAG